ATCTGGAAGTTCACGGTTCACGTATTGCTGAAGCCTGGCTTGGAGAATTTTGAGCGTTACTTTACTAGCATGTGAGATGAGTGCAATTGTGTGGTAGTTTGAGCGTTCTTTGGCATTGCCTTTCTTAGGGATTGGAATGAAAACTGACCTTTTCCAGTCCTGTGGCCACTGCTGACTTTTCCAAATTTGCTGACATATTGAGTGCAGCACTTTCACAGCATCAGGTACCTCATATTCCCAGATGTGTCTTGAACAGACAGGGACCAAAATGCCAAAAAAAGACCTCAGCTAATTTTATTAATTTGCCTCCCTTTGTCTTACGATGTTGGATCTGTTTTCAGTCCTGTTCTTGGTGGGCCCAGGAAGCAGCATGTGCTTCAGAGAAAGAGCCTATCTGGGAAGTTAGCATGCATGCAGGCTGGGGGTTTCCATTGCCCCACTTCACTGCACCACAGTCACTCGTGTCACTTTTCTGGGTTTGGAGGGGATATCCTGTGTCCCATCCCCCTATCATCAGGGTTTAAGGGGATGGGGGTGGACAAAAGCATACAAGTCAGGACCTAAGCATTCTCATCTGAAAGACAGCTGAAGCTTTCTTTTTAAATGGATTCTTTTTAAATGCAGCACTGTGCTAAGTGGTAAAAGACTTTGGCAGCTTCTCTGACAATGTTTCTTGCTGTGTCAGGAGTTGCCCTGGTGCAGCCTCTGAATTCAGTATTCCTGATTTTTGCTTCTCCTAATTTAGCAGCTCCCTTCCTGACAGAAATGGTCAGCACTCTTATCCCCCCGCACTGAGCCTTTAATATTCATTCCTTCATTCATTCCACTCATGTTCAATGATTCGCAACAGTGCCACACACTGTCAGTGCTGCCAGGGACCTTATAGTCCCACAGGATCTGTATGTGGTGTGTATATATACACAACAGACTATTATAGCTGCAAGAAAGAAGGAAATCCTGCCATTTGCAACAACATGGATGGACCTCAAAGGCATGAAACTAAGTGAATAAAAGACAAGTACTGTATGATCTCACTTATATGTAGAATCTAAAAGAAGTTGAACTCATAGAAACAGACTAGAATGGAGGGTGGGGGGAAAGGGAATGTTGGTCAAAGGGTACAAACTTCTAGATTGATGAATAACCTCTGGGGATCTAATGTACAGCATGGTGATTGCAGTTAATAACTGTTGTGTACCTGAAAGTTGCTGTAAGAGTAAATCTTAAAAATAGTAATTATGTGATGTAGGTATCCGTGGGCATGCTAAGTCACTTCAGTCATTTCTGACTCTTTGTGACTCTGTGGACTGTAACCCACCAGGCTCCTCTGTCCATGGGATCCTCCAGGCAAGAATACTGGAGTGGGTTGCCATGCCATCTTCAAGGGTATCTCCTCGACCCAGGGATCGAACCTTCGTCTCTTGTCTCCAGCATTGGCAGGCGAGTTCTTTATCATTATTGCCACCTGGGAAGCCCAGGTGTGAGGTATGGTGGTAATCATTTGCTTGTGTGTCAAGTCAATACATTGTACACCTTAAACTCACGTAATGTCAGTTATATCTCAATAAAACAAAAAAATACCTGTATATGGCACCTACCATGAACCAAGCATATGCTAGGCATTTATATGTATCTAAATTATTTTTCATAAGAGTTCAGCAAGGTACTTGATAGCCCCCTCCCCCCTTTTTAAAACAAAGGAAGAATTAAGGTTAAATAAATTGCAACATCTGCTTCCTACTGTCCTAAAGTCACATTTCCGGGAGGCAGCATTGTCAGGACTTCTTGCTGACAGCCGTCCTTGCTTCCTTTGTCCAGAGAAGTGTATGTAGAAGTTTCTCATGACTGCTGTGACCGCCCTGTTATACAGCTCCCTAAGTAGCTCACCATCTTGGAAGTTTCACCAAGGAAATTCTTCGGTAGTCCATGAGAGCAGGAACTCCCTTTCTGCCCTCCACTGTATCCTAACACCTAGCACAATGCCTTTCACTTACATGGTGCTCAATAAATACATATTGAACAAATGAATAAATAAGAATTAAAATTAGTCAAGGTTGATATTTTTCCCCTTAATAGAAGAGTGAACTTAATGAATTGAGCTTATGGGTAGTTTTGTTTTGCAAGCCTTCAATCATTTCCCCTTTTTATTTCCTTTCTCCAAAGTCACAAGCTCTTGTCATTGTGTCAAATGAAGGACAGTATATGCATGTGTTGGGGCAGATGCAGGGTTGGGGGGGGGACGGTGGTGGTGGTGGAGAGATGGGGAGAACAAGTAAGTCTTGTCTCTCTTAATTTAAACATCTGTCTGGCAGCCAACAGCCCTCTTCAGTTTCACAGAAAAATCACTAAACTGAGTGTGCATCTGATATGTGTTGAATGAGGGTTCCAGGGGGTGCAGGCAAAAAGAGGAGGTTGTGTGTGCAGAGGTCCAGATAGGACCTTCCCAGAGAGGGTTGCCAGGCAGTTATGAGTCTGTGGGAGAAGGACATCTTCAGCAGTTGAGCCTTCAGAGGCCCCAGGGCCCCATAAGATGTATTTATTTCTCCAGCATGTGCTACATTCAGAACGCTGGCGCAGAAATCAAAGAAATCTTCAGCCTGTCTTTAGACACTTGGGGGCAGCAGATAGCCAGACGGTAGAGTCTGGGGCACTGCTGTGGTGGGGCCTGGGTTAGAGACCTATCTCGGGCTTCAGGAAAGACCTTCCTGTGTGAGTAGCCCACTAGGAGTACCAGCCACTATGGGCCGTTTTCCCCTAGAAGGGGTGGCTTTGTACAACTTTGTCTGCCTGGTCAGGCTGGAGGAACAGCCGGTGGCTACATGGACAAAGGGTGTGAAAGAGAGTCCTGTCCCACTTGTCACCCAGGTAAGAAAATTGTCAAGGGCCTCCTCCCTGGGCAGGTGCGCACACGGAGGGAAGACAGACATGAAGCAAATCATTTCAATGAGATATCTTTTAGAGGAATGTCAGGGTACAGGTGGGAGCTCACAGCAGGAGATGCAGCCCAGACTCTCAGGATCAGGGGAAGATTCCCCAGATTAACTGAGACATGAGGATTGAGCAGCAGCTGGTTACAAGAGTGGGGAGGGAGCGAAAGCTAAAGATACTTGCAAAGCCTCAGGGGCGAGCAGTAAAGCGAGTTAAGGAACTGAACAAAGATGAGTCTGTCTGGAACATTAAAACAGGACAGGCACGATTAAGGGCCTAACAGAGCGTGTCAAGGAATCTGCATTTTATAAACCACCTGAAGGGGGTTATATGAGAGCAAGACATGATCACTCCAGCTGCAGAGAAGGAAGACAAGAGAGGATGTGAGAAAGCCCATTAGCCAGACGGTAGAGTCTGGGGCACTGCTGTGGTGGGGCCTGGGTTAGAGACCTATTTCAGGCTTCAGGAAAGACCTTCCTGTGTGAGTAGCCCACTAGAAGTACCAGCCACTATGGGCTGGTACTTGCTCCAGGTACTTTGCATGCTCCAGACAGAAATAGTGATGTCAGGACCAGGGTGGTGGTGGGTAGAATCACCAGGAACTGGATGTGAAGGAAAGATAGGGGAGTTGATGATGAAGTGCAGATTCTTTTGGACCACTGGGTAGGCAATAACTTCATTAACTATAGAGGAAGATGGTGCATGCATGGGAGGAAAATGATGTGCTTTGCTTAGGACTGTTGAGTTTGAGGGGTCAGGGGGACACATGTTTCCACTGCAGGGGGCGTGGGTTTGACCCCTGGTCAGGGAACTAAGATTCTGCATGCCACATGGGTGGCACAGCCAAAACAACAACAAAAAGAGATCTGGGATGGAGATGGAGATGAAGGTTTGGGAGGCACTGGTCTATGTATGGGGAAGGTTATTTGGGAGGAGTGAGGAGAGCCTGGGAACATTGAAGGGACTGGCACAAAAAGGAGGCTGAGAAGGAATGGCATCACTAACCTCACAGCCTAACCAACTGGCTTCCCACTTCCCATGTCACTGGAGCATCCTGGGATGCCCCTGGGAAGGTATCCAGGCCAACAGAAGGGACTAGGGAATCATTCTGTTCTCCTTACCACTGAGTACTATCTCTGCTGACCCTGTTTTCACAGCAAGGCGAACTCCTCTCTCTCCTAGATCCTTTCCCTAAGTAGTACAGACAGCCCTCTCGACTCCCAAATATGACATCTGGGGAAGGTGACAAGGAAATGGCTTAGCAAAACAAAGCAGACGAAAAGGCTAAATTATGTGCCAATTTGGAACTTCCTTGATGGTCCAGTGGCTAAGACTCTGCACTCCCAACACGGGGGGCTGGGGTTTGATCCCTGGTCAGGGAACTAGATCCTGCTTGCTGCAACTAAAGAGCCCATGTGCTGAAACAAAGATCAAAGATCCTGAGTGTTGCAGCTAAATATTTTTAAAAAATTATAATAAAAACATTATTATGAGCAGGGCTCCATGGGCTTCACCAAACTGTCAAAGAGGTACATGGAAGCAAAAACGTTAAAAACCCCTGCTTGGTAGAAATATACATTGCCCTTACTCTAAAGGGATGCTTGACTTTGGGTGTTGAGCCATCTCTCTGATCTGAGTCCATCACTTCCACCTCTTGGTGCCCCCAAAGGT